TTTGATTTTTTTCCTGTGTATTACTGTTTGGGTTACTTTGTAGTTTGGTAACTGTTCGTAATTATAAGTCATCACAACCTGAACATGAGTTGGTAGTGCCGTGCTTCATCAAAGACAGCGAACACTGCTGGAGCGTGTGGGAGTGTCGCCTGGATGAAGCTTGAAAGACTGTGTGTGTGTGGAACGGGTCAAGAGATCAGCCCAAGCATCAAGAACAGGGTGGACAGATGACAGGGAGATGAAGATCATCAGCAAACTAGAGAATGTTGCCTGTCAGGAAAGAGAGAAAAAACCTGCTTAGTAAAAAAAAAAAAAAACAACCCACAAAAAAAACCCCAAAAAACCAAACCACCCCAATAACCCCCCCGCCCCAAAACAAACAAACAAACACAACCAAACCCAACACCAAATTGTGTTGATGACTTCATATGTAAAATGTTGTCACAGATGAAAGGGAAGAGCATCATCTTTATGTCCATAGCTGTTCGGTAAGAGATAACAAGCCTAAGTTTCAGCAAATAGGGCTTAAGGTTAGTCATTATGAAAATATTTCTAGCCTGGGACAGTTAAACAGATTTCTTAAGGAGTTTGTGACTCACTGTCTTTGGAGGTTTTAAAGATGAGGTTAAAGTAGGAGCTTCCAAACCTTGTCAAACTTGCCCCAGGTCTCCATCACTTCACCCTGCCTGTCTTCTGCCCCAGAACCGCTGCTGCTGTCTTGCACCCGTGCCTCTTTCGCCCGTGCTGCCACCCGAGACTTCCCACTCCCCGTTCTGCAAGACCAACACCACTTCCCAGTGGTGTGCAGCCCCCTGTAGCAACTGCAACAGGATCCAAGTGGTCTGTATGTTCAGCAGTGGCTGCATTAAACCAAGCCTCTGCTTGCTGTGATTCTAAGGGCCACGAGGCAACCTTGAGGGGCTCACAAAATGCCAGTTCCCCTTTGCTTAAGTGTTAACACTCTTACTTTAGACCATCAAGGATCACTCAGTCTTAAACTTCAGTCGCTGCGGTATTGGGGTGGGGGGAGAGAACAGTGACCACAGCACTTTTTTCTTAATGTTTCAGCAAATGTATTATTGGTACTAAATAACTACCTGTTAACAGAATACACCCCCCTCACCCCCCCCCAAATGTGGGTTCCTGCTGCTAAACAAATTTTTCTCTTGGAAATGTCCCTTCATGAGCATAAATGATTGCAGTAGAGCAGCTTATCACTTGTCATTTAAAAAAAAAATAGTAAAGCTTCTAATTCCTGGAATTAAAAAAGTCAGAACATAAAAAAGGCACACCATGAATGATCAAGTTCAGTTGGAGGCTTGTACTTGCTATAATAAAATGACAGTCTGAGGCTTTTAAGCAGAGTAAGAATCCTCGCTACATTGCTTTTCTATCTTCTTTTCTCTCTTTTCCTTAGTTTTTTTAGGTGAGAAAAATTATTTCTTTTTCTCACCTAAAAAACTTCCCTTTTTCATTATAGAATCCATGTATGGGTCTGAATGTGATGTAGAAAGTAAACTTTTTAAAAGGATCATGGTATTTTTGCTACTTTGATCCATTTCTATGGAGGAAAAAAGACAATTTTTAAACAGAAGTCTACTTACGAAATCACTTTATGCCTAGTGTAGCAGAAATCTGGTTCACCACATCAAACATCACTATGTGGCTCTTCAAAGAACGCCCATCATGATTTACTACCCGTCAGTGTGAATGGTATGATTTCATCTATTACAGTCTGTGCTTATTCCTGAGGAAAATACATGTTTTTTAAGAAAATTATGAATCAGATATACATATTTCAGGCACTGTTTATTTACTGTAATATCTTAAAATATCCACATTGTAGTTCAGTTTTACACCATTTGAAAATTGTCCCCAAATCCTTTACAAATGTGTGTGTTCCACAAGTAGCCTGGGTCCACCTTGATTTCCATTATGTTAGATCCACATTGTTTTCTGGGTTGGGAAGGTTTGGGTTTTATAGATCATGTTAGGTATAGTAATTTGAATAAATTAGGAAAAAGCTAATTTTCCTTGAGCAACTGCAGTCTTGCAGAATACAATAATAATTTTTTTAAAAATATTTTTGTGGAAATACTCTTAAGTTTTCAGTGAATACTTTCAGTCAGTTTCTGTTTAGAAATTTACCAGCAAATTTATTTTCCAAAGAATATTTTAATTGATTGAAAAATTAGGCACTTCTTTCAGTTCATGGAAATTTGTGGAGTTTTCCTTTATACCTAACAGCACGTAGAAAGTTGCGCTAAGATGGTAATAGCATAGAGCAAAGGAGCAAAATTGTTCATGTGGGCTGTATCGGAAAACTGGTGGGTCAGATCCTGAGTTGGAGATATGAAAGAAGAGATAACCATTGTTATCTGTGCAACTTAAAAAATAAATTTAGAAGTATTGCTAATTAAAAGTTGACAAAGAATAATCCTGTTGAGTTGCCTACTGTTTTCACACATGTTCACTCCCAAGTTATTCCACCCAGTACCCTTAGTTATGGAAACAGCTGTCAGTAATTTTAAATATGAAATACAGATTTTTGGGGTTTTTTTGATATTTTATCATTATAATCAGTATCCACTGATCCTGGAAAAATACTGTTGAACTCTGAAGGTTGATTTATAATCCTGGAATTCTTCAGAAAAACAGTCAAAATTCCTTGATTGTATTTATTTTTGTACATTCTTGATGAAAGTAGTTTCTGAATTGGAACTTTTAAAAACTGTTTAGTGATTTGAAGTGGTGAAAAGCACTCATATTCTCTCTTTTTTGCAGTAAATGTCTAAGTTCATTCAGCAGGGAATGTGTGAAACAACTGGTATAATCCAAGTTTTTTATGGCTCTGTACATTCAGTAAATGCCAATAGAAACCTGTTTAATATAAGCTTATTCCATCAAAAGTAGAAGAAACACAATTTTTCTTTGCAATTAAAAATACCCATGTAGGGTTGGAAATAGACAGTGATGACATTTTGAGTAAGAGTCAAAGCTGTGGTGAATAGATAAAAATGATGGGCAGCCATTAATTCTGTACAAATAAATCAGAGCAACAAAACAGGGGCCCATAATTTACATATATCATGCACTTGTATTTGCAAACATATGACACATGCATTAATATTTTCAGATGCACAGTACATTTTGGAGTCATTAGTATTTGAGGAATGTTTAGTTGGCATATACCTGGTGTATATTACTGCTTGTAGCGGCGAAGCGCTGGAAAGGAGTGGGTTTGTGTTCAGCCATGTGAGTGGGGAAGATTTCAGATTTTTTTCGCTGTAAATATAGGAGTTTGCTTATATCACCTGGGGTCTTTTTCATTCATGTACTCTTGTGTGTCCTGTTCTGTATGTTTCAGGTAATGTGAACCGATGGAGGCTCATGGTACTTTAAAAATCTTAGCTTCTTACATAGGTTTTGAGGACTACTGGTTGAAGTCTTGTTTTTATCACTTGAAATGAATAAACAGATGATTTTTGAATATATTAAAAGAGACTTTAAATAACCGAAACAAAATCAGAGCAGTCAGGAATAGCATCTGTGCTGAATCCCAGTTCTTTTAAAGATAATCGCTTCAGAAACAAGTGTCATTGAAGAATATGGTGCTACACTATTAAATTGGAGTTTGAAGTACTGATCAGGCTTAATGCATGTATTAAAAGAATTATGTGAGGGTTGGCTGCAGTAGTGGGGAACTGTATTTGGTGACCTAAGGGTTTAGCCTTCCTAAAACTGATCCATTATCTGTTGAAAGCACTGCAAGGAGCACATCTGCTGTGCTGAATTGCTGACTTCTGTCACACACCCATATAACAAACAAGACGGGCCCTATCACTGTGGTGATGTAGGTGGAAATCTTACCACGTCCCAGGGACATACATTGATGTAAATAAAATTACTGCTCTGTTTCTCTGCCATTTAATTACTTACTTGATGGGTTCTGTTGTGCCAGGATCTTTGTGAAAGCACATATGATTTTTATTTTTACACTGGTAAATGGGGGAAGACTTTGGTTTTTTATTCTCTCAGGTAAGCTATAAGAAATACTCAACATAACATGCAAATGCATAAATTTAAGCACATAGCATGAATTAAAGTAGCATCTCACAGTTTGTGTATACTGGTTATATTTCTCATGTAAATGATTCCAACACTGAAAACATGTCATAGTACTTGCTTACCAAAGACTGCTGCCTGTTAGGTACAGCTTTCTTAGTTTTATATGCTCAGTGCAGAGTAATGTTTAGGGTTTCCATTAGTTTTGGCTTGTACTGTAAAGCCATTCTGGTTTAGATTAACTATGAATTAATCTCTGACACTACAGATACCTTTGGTTAATAGATAGAGATATATTTATTGATGTAGTAAACAATGGAATATGGAAAAATTTAAGACTTTTTTTTTTCTTCCTGTGAAAGGCATATTGAAATAATACAATTTGTCTTCTGGCTAAACAGTATGTGAGGTAACCTCACATTGTGAAAATGTCGGAATGGTAAGTTCATCAAATAATTTGCCCATGTTTTTTATGGTATTTTTGACTGCTACATAAAGTATTATATAACAGAACTAATGAAGTCTGTTGTACTGAAATTCGTAAATCAAGCAAAATAAGCCTACAGAAACTGATTCAATGGCAAAAGCTATTAATTGAGTTTTTCAAAATGGGTAATGTTAGATATGTTTATTTTTCTTTTTTTTGTGGCAGTAGATTTAATCTCACTGGTGTAATACCTATAGGTCACTGCACTCAAATAAATTGGAGATCCTTCACCTTTACCGTGAAGGATAACCAGGCATGCATTTTATCTGGGGGCTTCATTTGTTCATTTCAAGTTGTGAATGGCCCCTGCAGAGTGTAAAGGGCATTGTGCAAATACAGACTCACTTTGTAACTGAAGTTCATAAGCATAAATGAGACTGTTGTACTTCAGTATGAAAGTACTACCCTGTTTAAACTCAATTTCAGAACTGAAATTCTTAGGTTTCTGATGTTTTTTAATGTCTTTATTTCTTTTCAGGAGAAGTTACATCCAAGAAATCTGATCCCAGAGCTTTGTAGATTGTTTTATGATTTAGGCTGGGTAACAGGAACTGGTGGAGGAATCAGCTTGAAACATGGGTAAGTAAAGATGGAAGAGAAAGAATGTGATGGTTAGGGAGAGTGAGGGTGGCTGTGTTTAGTAGCTGATTAGAGCATTTCAGTTCCATGAAAAATATTTGAAAGTCAGGAGTGACCAAGAATATAGAGGGGGGAAATGAACAGTAAGCCAAGTTTAACCACGGAGAAGGGAGGTGGCTAGTCTGAATTAATGATTGCAGTTGCTTCAGTGGAGAGAGCCAGCTTCAGAGAGTGACTTTTTTCCTGTCCTTTCCCTATCTTTGTTTAAGGTAGATGAATTGCCTTCAAGGAACAATGCATTCTCCCTTTTTCATTTCACCGACTATGGAATTTAGAGTTACTTAGGCACACGGCTTTCAAAAGCCTGTGGTTAGGTGAGGTGAATCCCACCCTAGACATTTTCAAAGACATTTCCTTTAAGAAGGAAATAACTGTTCTTCTGAGATAATTTCTAAGGAGAGATTCTTAACATGAAGTTAAAGCAGGACAGGTAACAGCAAAACAATTTTTGGTGTATATCCACTTTGCTTTTTAATTTGTTCACCTCCTATTCCTACTTTACAAACTTCTAATGGAGACAGAGCTCCTCTCAGTGGCCACTGAAAAAAGGCAAGTCCTCATTCTGCAAAACGCCTCACACAGAGCCTGCAATTCTGTCCCCAGTCACAGGGTGTTGTGACACTAACTTAAAAGTGTCTGACTTCTCATTTTTCATATATACACTTGCATGCAGACACAAACAGCAATTGCTATTCAAATATATGTGAGAGAGAAATATGAAGTAAAGGCTCTAAATGCTAATATTTGTGCTGTACTTCCCTGATTGATTTTGCAAGCAAAGCAGCAGCAACAATAATGAGAGGAATGATGAGAAGGTTAACTCTTGGTTTTAAAGTTTGTCTATGGAAAGATCTTTCTAGCACAAATTTCTCATCAGTAGGTAAATGCAGCCTGTTTTCTTCATCATTTAGTGTGATTCATGTTGGTTGTGGCAAGGCAGTGTTAACAGAAAATACACTAACACAGCAGTATGGTTTTACTTAGCAGTTCTGTAACTTGGTTGCTCAGATTACACTAGAATACATATTTATGTTGGTACCGATATTGTACATAGTCTAGGAATAGTAATCTATATGGCTTTACTGTTTTATACCTATAGTAATGGTGCCTATATTTTAAAATTAATAGCTATGAGGCAGGGATGAGACTTACTAGTGTTACATAGGAAACAGTGGAAGAACAATTTGATTTGAAATTCAAACATCTGGTTTTAACAGCTAATCCTAATCAGCATTACCACTCTGCAGTTCGTACCAAGTACTAAGTATAAAAATGCCAATTTAGACATGGGATAGCTTATTAAAATTGGTCTAGAATTCTTTGTCAGGAGTCCTGTATTTCCAAGGCTGTATTTCATCATCAGTTTTTCCCTTTGTGATTAATTTCTGAAAGAGAAAAAAATTTGTTTTAAGAAAAAATGCACATTCTTCATTAGTAACTGAATTACCACATGATTTCTTGATACGCTGCGCTCTCAGTCATCCTGCTCGTGTGAAGGAATTGAGACTACATTAATACAACGTTGTCAGTGTTAATTCATGAATGTTAAAAATTACAAATATGATAAAGCCACATTTTGATATGCTTTGCAGCCGTTTTACCACTATGAAGAAGTACATCATCTTAAAAGTTGTATTTTTGGAAGAGTTAGAATCATTTAGGTTGGAAAAGCCCCTTAAGATTATTGAGTCCAACTGTAAACCTAACACTGCCAAGTCCACCACTAAACCATGTCCCTAAGCACCACGGCTACATGTCTCTTAAATACCTCCAGGGTTGGTGACTCAACCACTTCCTTGGGCAGCCTGTTCCAATGCTTGACAACCCTTTCAGTGAAGAAATTTTTCCTAGTATCTAATCTGAATCTCCCCTGGTGCAACTTGAGACCATTTCCTCCTCTTCTGTCTCATGCCACATGGGAGAAGAGACCAACAACCACCTCTGCAACCTCCTTTCAGGGAGTTGTGGAGAGTGATAAGGTGTCCCCTGAGCCTCCTCTTATCCAGGCTAAACAGCCCCAGTTCCCTCAGCTGCTCCTCATAAGATTTGTTCTCTGGACCCTTCACCAGCTTCCTTGCTCTTCTAAGTGTCGTGTCGATAAGTATAAATATCTTGTGGTCCTTTAGGAAATGTATCTGTAACTCGACTAATTATTCACTAGATGTCTCTGTGCTCCTGAATTTAGTATGTTACTGTTGAAACCAAATAGTGATGACAACTGAGGGACATAATATGAATTTTTTTTTTTTTGCTCTTATTAAAGACACCATCTTTAAATCATTTTAATTTAAGTAATGTTTTATAGTCTTTGTTCATGTAAACCTTGCAAGAAGGGATGCAGTTCTACTTGGATTTCAGTCACTTAATTGCATTGAATTAATGTTACCTTTTTATCAATACAAATAAATATATAAATGCATTAAAACCCTAAACTACACAGACAAAACCCAAAATTATTTACATTGTAGAATACTGCAGTTAATGGATATTGTCTATAGGTAATTGTGAATTTTTAAGTAATAGTTTTGTCACCTGTTTTGTCATAGATCAGTATCTACAGTTTTTCTTTTTCCATTTTTTGTTCTGAAATGTGGGGATTTGAGTTTGGCATTATTGCAGGGGGAGGCTGTGTCTTTGTAGGAAAAATAAGGCTGCACTTCGTACGTGTGTTTCAGACCTCTTGTCAAGTCGAAACCACGGTTTTGTACCCCTGCAAGTTAGAGATTTCATGTGCCCTTATATGACTCAGTTCTGTTTTGAAAACCATCTACACGTCAGTCTGTGGAAGGAGCAAGAAAGTTAGTGAATTATGAGGGGCTAGCTTTGCTAGTCCCTTTTCAGTGGATTGAAAGCTCTAATGCCTGTGCAGATGAACAAACCTGTGTTTATCGATTTTTCGCTGTAACTTTTCTTAGGAATGAAATCTACATTGCTCCTTCAGGAGTCCAGAAAGAAAGAATACAGGTACGTTAAACTATTTTTACCTCGGAGCTCATCTTGGCGTGGATGAAAGTGCCATTGTTTGGAGTTTCATTTTTCCTTCTGTAAAGTTACAAACCTCTTATACTCGCCTGCCTTATTGAAAGAGCTGAAGATCTTACCCAGTACTTCACTGGCACGGCAAGCCAACACGTGTTTCAGTGGCCAGTGCAGGTGTCTTGATGATCTCTTTGCTTTGACATTTGAACTTTACTCAAGTCTAGCTTCATTATTTGTCAAGCTTGAAAGTTTTATAGCTGGCTACAGTTTCAAGTTACTGTGGCACATACGTAATTAAGCATTAACACCTAATCTCTAGTTTCATTTAAGTGATTACAAATCTTTGTCTGGATATCTCAGTAAATAGATGGGCTCTGCCCATGAAAAGATGACCTGTTTCCTTTTCAAAACAGCCCATAATATAAGAGGAGGGGACAGAGGTAAATTGTAAGTATTTTATGACAGCAGGA